GAAATGTAGTACATGCAAAATAAGTTAAATCTTGTTTGAAAAAGTAAGAAAACACAGGTCTTCAAGAATTAAAACAAAAATGTGCTGGACATCCTTAACCTGATTCGTTTTTCTTGCTTTTCTGGCACAAAGCCCAGATTCCAACCCCGCCCCTTCCCACCACCACCACCACCATGTTTATTTTAAAAAGTACCATATTTGAATTATTTTGAGAACTGAATTTATGTTAAAGAACTATTAGACAGGAGTTGGGGGTTGCTATTCTGGGCAGTTCAAGCCTAAAAGAAGGTTGGGTGTTTTCTGCTGAGAAAAGGTTCCACATGGAAACGACTGTGTCTCTGTTGCATAGTTGGCAGGAATAGCCAGCTTATACAAATGTTCCCCTCTCTCCCCACCACACGGTTATTTTTATGCAATGGAGATTACATTAATTGTTTGAAATTTAGTTCCTGCCTCAGAAATGGGAGCACCATGGTTATTTTAAGAAAAAAGAACAAGAAAATCTGTTGAGTAGAGCTTTCATTCACTTAAAATTTTGAAAGAGAAAGTTAAGAAGCAAGGAGTGGAGTTGATAGGGAGAAAGGAAAGGACTGTGTTCAAAACCAGTTTATCTTTGCTTACAGACGAAATAGAATCTTAAGTTGCTCACCATCAATATTCCAAGAGAAGTCTCACTAAGCTTCAGAGCTCTATTATCATTTTAGTGTCCCCCTGTGTTAGAGATTTAGATTTGTTAAAGCTATCCTGATTTTTTTGCCCAGCCGGCGTGGCTCAGTGGTTGAGTGTCAACCCACAAACCAAGAGGTGACTGGTTCCATTCCCAGTCAGAGCACATGCCCGGGTTTTGGGCTCTATCCCCAGTAGGGGGATGCAGGAAGCAGCCAATCCATGATGTTTCTCTCACTGATGTTTCTATCTCTCTATCCCTTTCCTTTCCTCTCTCTTTAAAATCAATAAAAACATTTTAAATGTTTTTAAAGCTATCCTGAAATATTAGCCACTAGAATATTAAAATTTTGTTTAGTTGAATTTATTAAAAAGCATTAAGTAAAATAAAATTTAATTTTAAAATTAAAACTAGGCAACTCTCTAGTTTCAAAAGGAAATATTAGTAATAATAATAATAATAATAATAATAATAAATGATAGAGGCTATTTTCTCATCCTCTCACAAGACTGTAATGTAGATTTAATTCTTGAATTCCAAGAAAAAATTTAGAAATAGAATTCTTTCACTTCCCAACTTGTGTTTGGCTGTTTCCCCAACCCAGTCATTACCAGACTTCAAATCTAGGGAGTAAGTTTGGAGGTTGAGGAATCAGAGAAGCAAAGACTGGCCCCATGAAGCAGCATAGGCAGAAAGGAGAGGTGAAATTAGGAAGTGGGTAGATGGTAGAGGAGGGTGATAAACAGTGGGCTATTGCACATTCCTCTTTCCCAAAGTTCCATTCATCCTAGCTTCTCACCAGTCAAATTGTCTACTCTTAGTTTTGTCTTGGCAGAATTCTGAAAGAGCTATCCAATTCAATTTGAATCCTTTTCTTTGAGCAGTTAAGAGTCAGAGACCCAAATAATAGGTCATCTGGAATCTTTTTCTTTTTGTTTTTTTTTTTTTAAAGGATTTCCAATGGATGCAAATTGACAATTTAGAGATGCAACTTGCAGATTTTCTTTTTTTTTTTTAAAACATATTCCATTGATTTTTTTTTACAGAGATGAAGGGAGAGGGATAGAGAGCCAGAAACATCGATGAGAGAGAAACATCAATCATCTGCCTCCTGCACACCCCCCACCGGGGATGTGCCTGCAACCAAGGCACATGCCCTTGACCGGAATCGAACCTGGAACCTGGGACCCTTCAGTCCGCAGGCCAACGCTCTATCCACTGAGCCAAACCGGTCAGGGCTCTTTTTCTTTTTTAAATAGCCACTCATTTTAATGAAAAACTAAAAAGAGAACACAGATGAATTATTTGTCATTTTGTAGAACTATAGTCCCCACCCTAAAAAGCACACATATAAAAAAAAAATAGCAAACACTCCAATTATCAAAATAACATATTAGTATTTCATAATTTTTCACTTTAAACTGGGTACACTGATATATAAATCAACATTTTGATAGCTGCTCTCTGCGCTTGGAAAAGAAACACTTTTTTGTGTCACTGGCTTAAGTAATTATAAAATGAAACAATCAGGAAATCAGCAATACCTTGAGGTCTGAGGTTTAATGGTTGGGCATAGACATTAATTTTTAAAAAGATTATTTTAGCTCAGCTGAATTAAAGTTCTGAATAGGGAATGAGAAAGCAAAAAGTAAAGCTATGGAGCCCCTAGTATTTAAATTTTACACGTTATTTCAGCTAGTCATATGAATAAACTATTACAATAAAAGCCATCATTCAGTATATACTGTATGTCAGAAACTGTGCTACGGGATTCACATTTCTTCTCATTTAATCTTCACAGTGACTTTATAAGGTAAATATTATTCCCATATTAAAAATGAAGGAAGTGCAGTAGAAAGAGGTAAAACCACTTGTCCAAGATTTCCAGATTTGGAAAACTGTAGAATGGGGAATAAAATGTAGGTTTAGCTAGTTATAAATGTCATTTCTAGTTATTCATTTTTTAAGAATATTTTTTTTAAAATAAAAAACATTTTTGCTGTAGTGTCTGAGAATACATTGAGAGGGGTCTTCTGGGGTACCTGCAACGTTCTGCTTCATGATCTGGGTGATGGTTACATTGAATATTTCAGTGAGGTGTTCACTTACCACTTGTGTGCTTTTCTGTATATGTTATATGCTATAAAGTGTTTACTTAAAGAAGTGTAATTCATGCTAAATACAGCAAATGTGACAGACGGATAAGCACAAAGAGGAAATAAATTCAAGGGTCTTTTGTGGTTCCATACACATTTTAGGATTGTTTGTTTTATTACTGTGAAAAATGTCATTGGGGTTTTGATAGAGATTGCATTGAATCCGTAGATTGCTTTGGGTAGTGTGGACATTTGCACAATATTAATTCTTCCAATCCATGAGCACAGAATATTTTTCCATTTATTTGTGTCTTCTTCAATTTCTTTTCTTAATGTCTTATAGTTTTTAGTATATATATGTCTCTCCTTGGTTACGTTTATCCCTGAATATTTTATTCTTTTTGATGCAATTGTAAATGGGATAGTTCTCTAAATTCCTCTTTTTGATAGTGCATTATTAGTGTACAGAAATGCAATAGATTTTTGTTATTGATTTTGTATCCAGTAATATTCCTTAATTCATTTATTAGTTCTAAGTTTTTTGATGGGGTATTCAGGGTTTTATATGTATACTATCATGTCATCTGTAAATAGTGAGTTTTACTTCTTTCTTTTCAATTTGGATGTCTTTTATTTCCTTTTCTTGCCTAATTGCTCTGGCTAGGACTTCCAATACTATATTGAATAAATATAGCAACAATGGGCACCCTTATCTTGTTTCTGAGCTTAGAGGAAAAGCTTTCAGCTCTTCTCCATCAAGTAGAATGTTATTTTGGGGCTTGTCATATATAGCCTTTATTATGTTGAGGTATGTCCCCTTATACCTGCTTTGCTATCATAAATGGATGTTGAATTTTGTCAAATGCTTCTTATGCATCTATTCAGATGATCATGATTTTTATTTTTCATTAGAGGCCCAGTGCACAAAAATTCATGCACTTGGGGGGTTCCCTCAGCCCGGCCTGCACCCTCTCGCAGTCTGGGAGCCCTCGGGGGATGTCTGACTGTTGGCTTAAGCCGAAGTCTGGCCTCCCTCTGCGACCAGCGGGCTGATTTATGGATGGCGCTGGGCGAGTGGCCAGCCCTGCCCCCCATCACCCTTCCACCGCCGCCCTCTCCCTCTGCCCATTGGCACCTGCCTTGGCTGGCCTGGTGCCACCCGCTCGCTGGCCCCACCCCCTGCCAACCGGTAGTTCTGCTGTTCGGTCGATTTGCATGTTAGGCTTTTATCAATAGGATTCTTAATGTGGTGTATCACATTGACTGATTTGTGGATGTGGAACTGCCTTGCATCCGTGAACAAAACCCACTTGATCAGTGTTTGATCTTTTTAATGTATTGTTTAATTTTCTTTAATATTTTGTTGAGGGTTTTGGCACCTATTTTCATCAGGGATATTGGCCTCTAATATTCTCTTCCTGTGTTGTCCTTGTCTAGTGTTGTAGTCAGGGTGATGCTGACCTCCTAAAATGAGTTTGGAAGCATTCCCTCCTTTTCTATGTTTTGGAAGAGTTTGAGGATTGGTATTAATTTTTTGTTGAATGTTTGTTCGAATTCACCAGTGAAGCCATCTGGTCCTAGACTTTTCTGATTACTGATTCAATCTCCTTATAGTACTCTGCTCAGATTCTCTATTTCTTCATGATTCAGTCTTGGTAGGTTGCATGATTCTAGAAATTTATCCATTTCTTCTAGGCTGTCCAATTTGACCGATAATTGTTCATAGTAGTTTCTTATGATCTTTTGAATTTCTGTGGTAATAGTTGTAATAGCTCTTCTTTCATTTCTGACTTTCTCTTTTTTTTGTGTGAAACTAGATGATTTATGGGTTACTCAAAAGCTACCATTTAGTTTAATTATATTTAATAGTGTGTTATGAATTTATTTAAATGAATTGTCAGATGTCTTTTATTAGAGAAAAAATAGCCTTTAACATTAAAAATCTCTAAGATTACTTAAATCCTTCAAAAAAAAAAAAAAGATGCCGTTGTTGCATTATTGTCCCCTTGGAACTGTTGTAGGTCTGATAAGAGAGGAGGCAACGTTAGTGAAAAGGCCAGTGAACTAGCAGTCAGGAATACTGGTTTCTAGTTTTGCCTGTGCCACCGAATAAAAACCTCATTGTGGACAAGTCTCAACTTCTTTGAACTTCAGTTTCTTGAGCTGTAAAATGAGAGGATTGGGCAGTATCTCAAAGGACACTTACCGCCAAAATAATTATGACCCAGGGGATTCGCCCAGGTATCAAACTTTTATTATAATAAAGAGTGAATTAATGAAACAGAAACATTCAATATTATAGGAGAATAGAGCTTGCCACTGTTATTGGCAGACACCATGTGTTTCCTGCCCTTTCCACAAGCAGCCATGGGAAGGGAAGCGACAGGGGAGAGGGACAGGATGTCCTTCCTTGACATGTCACTCATCAGCCTATATCTTTACATTTTTTTCATGGCCATCAGATCTGGTATTTCAGAAGTCCATCCCACAGAACAAAAAAAAAACTACAAATAACTTGTGATGAAGACCAAATAAGTGCTTAATTTCATTTGCATTTGTTATATACTTTTCCAAATGTGTTCCTTTCATTATGGTTGTGGCCTGCACGTACAGTGACATTTCAGGGGCTTGGGGAGGGGTAACATTTGCACAGAAACGGCTGCAGGAACTCCGGCTGCAGGAACTCCGGCTCCTTTGGGAGGCTGGCGCTGTTGCCCGTTTGCAGGTGAACCGTGGAGAAACGGGACCGGACAAGTGAAAAGGGAGCCGTGCCTGGGAACCTGAGACAGTTCCAGGGAGCAGAAAGGGACTTTGTTTTCTTGGGGCAGCGTAGCTCTAAGGCTCCGGGAGGTCGATGATACACTTGCCAACTTCCCTTTGAGGACAGGAAATGTCATTTATCTCAATAGTCCCAGCGACAGATATAACTGGTAATCAAACAGTTGTTGAATTGAGTAAAAACTGCGCGGGAATAAGGTGGGGGAAAGGAGACCGACATAACATAGCCTCGGATATCTGCAACTTTTAAAGATTTACTGCAAGATTAACCACAAAGGGCAAGCGACTTCAGCGGAGCACTTTTTCAACGAGGTGTCAACAAAGCAGCATAGGAGAGAGGGGCGATCGGAGCTCCTTTGAAGTGAAAACAGACCCCGCAACAGGCTTGAACCCCTGAGTGAACACGGGAGAAGCGACAGCGAGGGGCAGATGGCAGGAGCGAGTGTCCAGGTCGGAGAAACACTCAGGTCGGAGACGGGCAGAGAGGGCTCAGTGCAGGAGCCGGGCCGGAGCAGCTCGCTTTGCGCTTGTTTCCTAACAGAACTACCAGGAAGCCCTAAGAGAAGTGCAGCTCGGGCGGGTAGACTGGCCTGAGAACTTCCGTGTGTGTGTGGGTGTGCAACAGGGAGCGCCGCCCGCGCACTTCCGCGTGGGAGGGAGCCTGGCGCGCGGCCCGGCTGCGCCCGCCCCGCCCTTCGGAAACCCGCACACCCCGCGGGAGCTGCCCCACCGCCCGGGGCAGGAAAGGGGCGGGGCCGCGCGCGCGCCGCAGCCCCACAGGCCGCCTCCGCCGAGCCCGCCGTCGCCACGCCCCCGGACTACATGTCCCAGCATGCCGCGCGCCGCTCGCGCGCCGTAGTTGACCCATTTCCCGGCCCGTCCCGGGCTGCGGCCGGCCCCCGCGCCGAGGCGGCTGCTCCCTGC